ACAGTGGAGGCTGAGTTTATAGCCTTAGACAAGGCCGGTGAAGAAGCTGAATGGCTCCGGAATTTCTTGGAAGATATTCCATTTTGGCCCAAACCTTTGGCACCTATATGTATACATTGTGATAGTCAAGCGGCAATAGGTAGGGCAGGGAGCGTTATGTATAACGGGAAATCTCGTCATATTCGACGGAGACACAATACCGTTAGACAACTACTCTTTAGTGGTGTTATCACAATTGACTACGTAAAGTCAAGAGATAACGTATCAGATCCACTTACAAAAGGCCTATCTAGAGAGGCAATTGAAAGATCATCAAAGGGAATGGGGTTAAAGGCCTAGAACAAGTCATCATGGCGGTAACTCTACCTAGCAGACTGGAGATCCCAAGAGCTAGGTTCAAAGAGATCAAACAAAGTTATGAATAACGGTTCAACATTGTCAACTAACTCAACCCATTCTCGTGATGAAGACAATGTTCAAAAACGAGGTAAAACATTAAGGCTTTTTTGATGAGTCAATAAAGCTTAAAGCTTTTTAATGATTTGCTAAGTCTGGAAGGATATGACCAGATAGTGTGTCTTTAGGATTACAAGTTTAGGAATCACCTATGTGATCCGTTAGCTTCGGAAAGTGATTTGTGACTTAGGAGTTTGATCGGAATTGATTTTGGAGGTCCGGTGTAGAATTAGGCTTGAATTGGCGAAGTTAGCATTTTGGCGAATTCCGGTTGGTAGGTGAGATTTTGATCCGGGGGTGGGAATGGAATTTCGAGAGTTGCAGTAGCTTCGTTAGGTGATTTTGGATGTGTGTGCAAAATCTCAGGTCATTCGGAGGTGTTTTGGTAGGGTTTTGATCAAATGCGTATTTCGGAAATTTTTAAGAAACTTAGGCTTGAATCCGATGTGATTTAATGGTTTTAGCGTTGTTTGATGTGTTTTGATGATTGGAACAAGTTTGAATGACGTTTTAGGATGTGTTGGTGCTTTTGGTTGAGGTCCCGGGGGCCTCGGGAAGATTTCGGATGGTCAACCGGACCATTTGTAAACTTTGGGAGTTGCAGGAAATTGCAGATCAGATGTTGCAGGTATTAAGCCTATGTGATCGCAATAGCAAGGTCGCGATCGCATAGAAGTAGTTGGGCAAGCTGGATTTTTGTTCTCTGCGTTCGCACTAGTGGGATGCGATCGCATAGTAGGAAGTGAGGGCCCAGCTGAGTTGCTCTATGCGATCGCATAAGGTGGTCCGCAATCGCATAGTTCTGGCCAACCGTTCATTGCGTTCGCATAGGATTGTGGTGCGTTCGCATAGTGGATTTTTGAGGCTGTGGAATTTTGTTCATTGCAATCGCAAGCCTTGGGCCGCGATCGCATATAAGGAAAGTACTGTAGCGGACAGAAGGGTTTTAAACATATCCTCCGCGAGTTTAAACCATTTTTCCTCCATTGTTGAGCACCTTGAGAGATTTTTGGGAGAAATTGAAGAGGGTTTCGACGGGAATTGATTGGAGGTGAGTCCTCTGGCCTAGAAACATCATTTTATTGAAGAATCAACCCTTAAACTCATGGAAATTTGAGAAAAAATTAGAAGAACTAGGGCTTGACTTTTGAAATAAAAACTTGGGATTTGGGGGAGCATTTGAGCTCGGATTTTGGTAAATTTGATATGCATAGACTCGTGGCGAGATGAGGAATCCGGTGATGTGAATTTTGTAATTTTTCGAGAAGTGGGCCCGGGGCTCGGGATTTGCTAATTTCGAGATTCTTGATATTTTTCGATTGTTTTCGATTGGGTATTGTTCCCTTAGCATATTGTGATGCATTTGCTCTGATGTTGGCTAGATTCGACGCGCGTGGAGGCCGGTTTGAGGGGCAAAGGCATCGCGAGCTAGAGATTTCGCCGGTTCGAGGTGAGTAATGATTGTAAATGATAGTCTGAGGGTTTAAAACCCCGGATTTGCACACATAGTGCTGTATTGAGGTGACTTGCACGCCGGATAGCGAGCGTGGGGTAGAGCACCGTTGGGGGATTGTGACTTGGTCCGTCCCGGTTGTTGATTTTACCGCGTAATTGATTGAAACTTACTTGATATTATCATGAGTTGGGCTGATTGCCATATTTGGGCTTCGTGCCAATTATTTGAATCCTTCAGGGATTGATATCACCGTTTTCGCATTATTTTTGCATATTATTTGATCTCGGTCCAAGGGTTTTAATACTGTTTCGCAAACTCAGCCATCTTTCTAAGATTTGAAAACTTAAATTATATTTTATTGACGTTTTGAGCTGAGAGCTATTATTTTAACATTGCCCGAGTGGCTTATGTGCATTTCTGGACTGAGCATGGATCGGGCTGCGCGCCGCAGCAGTGTTATATGTGCATTTCTGGACTGAGCATGGATCGGGCTGCACGCCGCAGCGGTGTTATATTGATATTGAGGCCGAGAGCCTAGTTGATGTCACGAGATGACTTGATATTGCGCTTGGGCTGTAGGAGCCCCTCCGGAGTCTGTACACACCCCCAGTGAGCGCCGTCGACGTTAAATGGATCGGGCTGCACGCCGCAGCGGGTACTAGAGCGTACCGTCATATGCATTGCATTGCACTCATGCATTTGTTCCTATTTGTATTACTTGTCATGACATTCCAGCACTCTCATTTCATTGGCTTCCATGCTACTTCTTGCACTAATTACCTGATACCCTGGTGTTATTTGTTAGCGGAGTGCTGTGTCCGAGGGGCTGACTTTTGTGTTGTCTTGCACTACTTGTTTCGCATTCATTTGCTTAACTGTTGGAGAAAGATATTTTCAAAAGAGGTTTTAAACTGAGCCCAGATATTTCTAAAGATTTCACGGTTTCACTGTTTTCTCAAAGGGTTACACTGTCCTATGTAGCATGATGGATTGCTTTACGTGATTTCTTGGTGCTCAGTTATTATTTACTTTTATTACTCACTGAGTTGGAGTACTCACTTTACTCCATGCACCTCGCGTGCAGATGCAGGTATTTGTTTACCCGATAGCGGGTTTGAGCTGGTTGAGGATTTTGCTATCGTAGCTGAGCAAGGTGACCGCCAGCGTTCGCCGCACCAGATTTCTTCTTTTTGAGTCTAAATTTTAATCCATGTATTGCAGACCTTGTAGTTGTATTAGAAATCCTTCTAGATGCTCGTGACTTGTGACACCCCGGTCGAGCTGTGTGGGATTGTAACTACATCAATTAATTTCATTAAATCATTCTCGAACTGTTATATAATTGATTAACTGCCTAAAAGTGGTGTTCTAAAATGGTCTGGCTGGCCTTGTCTTCACGAGATGCGCCATCACGACCGGAGTGGGGTTTGGGTCGTGACAAGTTGGTATCAGAGCCAGGTTACTAGGTCTCACGAGTCCTGATCAGGTTTAGTAGAGTCTCGCGGATCGGTACGGAGACGTCTGTATTTATCCTCGAGAGGCTACAGAACCTTTAGGAAAACTTCACATTCTTGAATTCTTATCGTGCGTCCTTGATTCAGCTTGAAAGGAAACTTTTGAAATTCCTTCCACGTGTTCGTATGCGCGCATGAGTGCTCAGTATCAGATGTGCCTTGATGGCTTGTGATTCCCCGATCAAGGGGCGAGATGTAATCTCCGTGAGTTTGATGTTGGGCCAGTCTGGAGGACTTGAGGCCGGATCTTTGCTATGGCTTGAGCACCGAGGTGCTGATTGTGTGAGCAAGTGTTTTGAACTTATATGTTCGGTATTGTCCCTATTAGCCAGAGTGGCGGTTGGATATCCATGTGATGAGTATGTTAGTACTGCGAAATGTATCTATGTGATTTGGTAGTGACGAAGAAGTCTGCTGGATAATAGAGGAACTGTTAAGTGTTCGACTCCTATTGTGATTTGAGGTGTAGCCCGAGTTATGGGCGCGTGAAGAACATTTTCGTGTCTCCTAGTTGGGGAGTGTAGTGCATTTCATGTGGCGGTATGAGTTCTCTCCCTCCTATTTATATAGTAATTATATCCTTTTATCCAACGGTTCTTAGCCAAAGGGCCTTAGTCTGTTCATTGTGCATTGGGCCGTCCCCCTTAAATGTCATGACATATGCCTCGCCATACGATCTTTTAGATAGTTCGATCTCGGCAGCGGCCAAAATACTCGTTGTTATGACGTCTTATGAATACGACCATGGCTCAATCGACTCCTCACCCTTCCTTTTAGGCTGAACCACGCGTGGTCAGATTTTGACCGATACACTGATCAAATCATAGTCTCTTCTCATGTACGGGAGCTACACAACTTCTTTTGCATATTCCATCTTCTTGAAGCCCTTTTAATGAAACTTTTTTAAAAAGTATGGAAAATAACCTCACTTCGATCGTATATCTATATTCTATAGAAGTATTATTTAATTAAAGAGTATTTTTGTTTCACACTATTGATTTGTCATCCGCTGGATGAAAGTATAAAGGAACTATTTTGGGTATAACGCACTATTAGTGTGATTACCTATTCTAGCATATTATTTGGTTTATTATACATGTAATTAGTTTTACTTATATGAGTCATTATATTTTATTAATTTTTAAGTGATCTAATTAATGTATAGAAACGTGATGTTCATGAGGACTACTTCGTCCTCTTTCATTAACTCCCCCCCCCCCCCTAATAGTAGGGCTTAGAAATGTTCAAAGTATAAAATAAAATGCTAAAAGAGTTACCCAAAAAATACCTACTTAAATATTCGCTTAAAACTAAGCCTCTTTCCTTAAATAGTTAACCATGCATAAAGAATGACTAATTGGATTCTAATTAGATAATAGTTCGAATTGAGAAAAATTTAACCACGCTCAATATTTCCACCAACTAGATGAGTGCAAAATTTGTGCTTTGCATATAAACTTTTATCACTTAACCATGATCAAAATGTTATATATATATTCTTACTTTTGATTGGTAATTTTTATGATTAAATTGTTTAATATGATATATTTTCAATGTTATAAAAAGAAACAAAAAACATACTTATGAAACTTTGGAAGGCAACCGATATGAATATTAAGGGGTGCGACTGCCACGCAAGCGCGCGAATCACCCTCCAACGGTGAAATTTCCTTTTGAAAATTCCACCGGCAAAAGGAAATGTCCCTAATTCACCTGAAACCGCCGTATTACGGCCATTCACCACCAATTCGCCACCACAAACTCACCGTCCCCTACCAATCCACCAAACCAATTAACATCATCTTCAATTTCCCAATTTCCACATCCGCTTTATCAATCAAATCATCATCCCCACGCGCCGCTGCGAACTCCGGCAAATTCACCTCTTTAGCTCCTCTTAAACCCTATCTCCTGTCGGAATGGCAACCAATCCTCTGTGGATGGATATGCAGTGCAATATCCGTTTACTCTCTCTCCAAAATTATTCCCAAAGTAGGGAAATTCTCGTCTCTCATGAATCCTCCGTTGGATGTTCTGAGGTTGAGAGAGGAGTGTTTGGTCTTAGGCGCTTTGTTTGTCGTTCGACTCATTGGTAATTATCTGCAGCAAGCGCTTCTATGGGAAGCTGCGTTGAATTGTGTGTATAAGATGAGGGTTTATGTTTTCCGTAAGGTTTTGCAGAGAGATTTAGGGTTTTTTGAGGGAGGGAGTGGGATTGCTGCTGGAGATGTTGCCTACAGGATTACTGCTGAGGCTTCTGATGTTGCTGATACTGTTTATTCTCTCTTGAATGTGAGTTGAGAAACGTTGATGCTTTAGTACTCATGTACCAATATAGTGTATATATTAGAGGTTCATTCGAACTTAGTAGCTTTGGCTCATACCTGGATATGCAGGGGAGGTTGTAGCTTTGGAATACCATGTTCATATGAAATCAGTCAACGCGAAGTGTAAATTTATGATTAAAATTTCATTAAAATTGAACAAACAGTAGATATGAACCCATAACTTCAAAAATATAATGGATTCAACGTGAAAAAAACTAAAAGATTGAACTCATAGAGCTTAAATCCTGGATCCGCCTCTATCATATGTGACTTTGGTAAATAAGTATAAATAATTGATTTCAAACTCGAACCCAAAAAGTTCAAATTTTGAATCCGCTTCTGTAAGGGTACTCCCAACTAACTATCAAAAACATGGAGCATCCGGTTCTGTATATTTATAATGTTGAATTGTGTGAACTGCATTAAGACAATGATACTTTGGTACCCCCAAGTACCAAACCGCTGGGAGCATCCGGTTCTTTATATTTTATGCTTTTGAACTTGTGAACCACATTATCTAAAAGTTTAAATGGCTAGAAGGGCAAACTTTTACTTATTTGTTGTGCTTGTAACCGCCCTCTTATTATTTAACTATCTTGGATCAAGCATGTGAAATATTTGTTTTGATGGGTGGAATGTCATACATAGGATTTGAACATGTGACCTATTGAACCCTTTAGTACTACACTAGATTAGAATCTTCACTTATGTCAAAGGGATTCACCAGTTTATATATAAATAAAGAAATTTGTTTTTCCCTATTTTAATAGTATAATTTTCCGGAGAAAGGGATTCAACTGAACCCCCTTACTTGAACCTAGCTTCGGCCCTAGTGGCCATAAGATTTGAACTAGGATGTTTATGTTATGTTTGCAAGATGTCCTTTACTTGTGGCGTGATTCTTTTTCCTAGACTGAGCACATAGAAATATTTTTGTTGAGAAGTGTTCGGTGGACTAAAAACTCATGATTGCTATTAGTACCATATCGAACAATTATTCATGAAAAGTTTAAGCTGTTAGAGAACGGACACTTGTACTTTTATGTCTTCAATAAACCCCTTCCCTTCTCTTTCTAAATCTTGTGCTTTGTGATTTACAGACGATTGTTCCAAGTAGTCTTCAGTTATCAGCAATGGCAATTCAGATGTTGGTCATCAGCCCTGTTCTATCATTACTTTCTGCCTTGGTGATAAATGATGCATTAGTTCTTGTCTTCTATAATTATGAATTATTTATGAGTGTTGGATGAGTTTATATTGAACTTTGATGGGTGTCATTTAAGGTGATTCCATTGATGGGTTTTATGATTGGTTACCTGGGCGAAAAACTTCGTGACGTATCTAACAAGGCACAACTTGCTGTTGCTTCTCTCTCTTCCTATCTGAATGAGGTAAGTGTTTTTAGTTTGGTTTTTCCTTTTCCTTAGGCAATTCAATGAATCTATCGACTAGCTTCAATTCAAAACATATGAATTCTCTATATCATTCTGTGTTATTGAGGGCCACCATCTCATTTCAATACGATTATTCGTCAAGTGCAGTAGCTTCTTAGTTTTCGTAAGTGTGTATTGGTTTGGTATACCTCTTTGGTTTTCCAAAATGTACATATGCTCACGGGCATTCCAACACATGGAGAAAACTTCTTCCACCTTCTACCCTCTTTTCAAGCTTCTTTTGTTCTATGTTACCCTCTTCCTTATATTCAATGAATCAAGCTTTCTATGCCAACTGAAGCCAAATTGCTCTTTGTTACAGATCCTCCCATCAATTCTTTTTGTGAAGGCAAACAATGCAGAGTCCTGTGAAAGCAAAAGGTTCCAGTCACTTGCTTTTGCTGATCTATCCGCGACTATGGGAAAGAAGAAGTTGAAGGCATTTATTCCTCAGTTGGTACAAGCAATATATTTTGGCGTCTTATTCACATTTTGCACTGGCACGCTGGTAGTTTCAAAAGGTTCTTTTGATTGCTCTGCCATGGTTTCTTTTGTAACATCCCTAGTTCTGCTGATCTCCCCAATCCAGGTAATGCTTCATTTATTGGAAGGATTATGTTTCTGTATTTTCAATTGTTTGAAATTTTGATTTGCCTCCTATCTTTGGACTAAGATGGATAAGTTTATATTACCATCCAATTTATATAGCACACTTCTAAACTAATAATTTTCCTGATTAACTTTGACGAATTTCAAGAATACAAATTCGAACTTTATGTGAATTTCTCCCCTTAAACCAACTTTCAAACGACTACTTCATATTTTTCTTATAACATTACAGTTAATGAAGTAATAACCAACATAACCTCTTAATTACGTGCCTATCAAATAATTGTAGCATAACTTTTTTATGAGGGTGGTGTTCGGGCCAACTTATAAGCATCTCGGCTATCATCGAGTATTTGCTACCTTCCACCAGCACAGGTACCAGGTACTTTGCCTACCAAGGTTTAGGCAGATGCAAAGAAATTACCTAGTGATTTTGCCTAGCTGGGATTGAACCTGTGGCATATAATTAGATGCAGCATGTTCAAATTTTCAAAAAGCAGTTTCTGTCTGCACTAGTTTTGACTTATTTGCTGCTTTGCTGTCACCTTTGCTCATCTCTTCTGCCAGAGTCTACCTTCAACCATTTGACCTGTTATGTGTAAAGCTTTGGAGCCATAGATTGTGGTTGGCTCTTTGCAGATATGGGACAAATGCTGCTGGATGGGGTACTCCTGCTAAACGCTTTGTGATGTTTATTTACTTAGAAGTTTTATTGGGCATTAATCGATATTTATTTCTCTTTAGGAGACCCTTTTATTTCATATCTGATCTCTTTTGGGTTAAGAATTGATTCTGGCATGTTTTCTAATATCAATTGTTAAGTTCAAACATCTAACAAAGCTTCAAGAGTTCATAAAATTCGTAGAGATCTAATCTTTAATTTCCTCCAAGTAGACTGAGGTAGTAGTACTTGTGGTAGGGTCCAGGCTGAATTTCCTATATGAACTAAGACTAAGGCTAAGTAATTATGAAAATCTAGCTTGCTCAAAAAGGCCTTGAAGCTGGTAAATCCATGAATTAATTAAGAAGAAATAAGGCACTCCAATAATAAACAGATGTAACCAATGACAGTTTCAGAGGTTGGAATGCGGTAAAGGCTCTAGAGGGGAGCCCAATACAATGAAAGGAATTTGTGTTAGCATGATATTCTTGTTTTCCTTCCAAGTCATATATTGGATCTTGTATGATCAAAAGGGGGAGTTTGCAAGGAGATGAGTGAGTAAGTGGCTTAATGTATAGTTGTATATGGATAGTATACGCTGGATGCTTTTCTGATAAATTATTTATTATAAGAATAAATAAGGCATGCTAATGATATTTTGCTTATGTCAAAACTCAAAAGTAATGGCAAGTCACTGTGTGCTCTCTTTTGTGCCTGCTGGTTTGAGTGTGTTTTCACGTGGGCGACTCTTCCCTGCATTGCTAAGTGCAGAGAATACCTCCAAAAGATTGAATCGGAATGGATTGCGACAATTACTCAGCTCAAATGATCAATTAGTAGATATTCTTACAAAATCACTCTGTGGATCCATAATTGAGTATATCTGCAAGTTAGGAGCATACACGATGTATTCTTTAACTTGAGGACGAGTGTTACAAATGTCAATATCAGAAAGTGGGTGCAAATCTTGGAGACTAAAGTTCGAATCCCAGCAGGGACGAAAAAAGCTCTTTGTGATTTCTTCCGATCCAATTAAGCCTTGGTGGGCTTAGTTACTCGGTACCTATACTGTTAGGAGGTAGAAGGTACCTAGAAGAATAGTCGATGCTCATACAAGCTGGCCGGACTCTACCTTTATCACGAAAAAAGAATGTCACTGTTAGGAGATTGAAAAAATGCAAGAACCCATACCTTGTAAATGTGGAAATGTTGAGAATTCATGTGATTATGTAATTAGGTGTTGGAATCACATATTTACCCCTTTTAGATTACTTGGAGTCACTATTTCAACCCAACATGATTGAGGGAATGAAAAGCAATTCTTTCTCAATATATCTTCTTTTTCACATTCTTTCCAAGGCTACATTATGAAAAATGACAATATACTAGCCACATTTTCCTTTTTCCTAGTAAAATGCTGTGCTCTTGAAGAGTTAGAATGTTTGTATCAAAAGGAGGAACTTTAAGGAGCTAGAGATGAGATCAAATCAGAAAGTGGCTAAAAGATAAAGGAAACAAGGACCAAGTAATTACAATTGTCCGATGCTCTTATAGAACAAATATACAGAGATCTACTTGAGAGTCTAGGAATGCGTACAGTAGCTTCATTTGTCTTTGGGCGTTAGGATAAGAATAGAGCAGCACAACCTTCAAGTAACTATCAACCACGAGATAATGTTACCTTATAAATTGCAGATATAAGTACCAAATTCTCCAGGTACCTGAACTGAACGAAGTAGAACAGAGTTACTCAGGAGGTCGTTCTCACATCATAAGGCATCTATAGGAAGCTTTGAATAGTACTGTGAATCACTCGAAACTTTCCTTAAGCGAAGAAGCTTCTTTCGAGCCTGAGACTTCATAAATTTGATTAACTTCTCTCACCATTTAAATTGAAGTGACTTTACTTTTATGTTTCTCTTTGCTCTTTGATTGTCTGTTGTTGTTTCTACTTCTTGTTCGGCTAGACTTCTCCCACACTGCTGCATTTTCTTATTATGGCTCAGCAAGTGGATCAGTCTTAGCTATCAATCTGAATCTAAGAGTTGTGCAGGATGCGGGGAAAGCATACAATGAATTAAAACAAGGAGAGCCAGCAATTCAGCGCTTATTTAATTTGACTAGCTTTGAACCCGAGGTAAATATACAACTTGTTGATTTCTAAGGAAATGTTTGTACTCGTGATTCTTTTTCCTTAGATATGATGGTCCAATGCTAGTTATAACTTTGGTAATGGCATGTAGGATGGAGATCAGCAGAAGTAGAATTAGGCTCCTGCGTCAGTTACTGTTCTGAATAATTTATCCTTCCACCCTTGGACCTGAAACCAAACTATAGACACTGTCAGATTTAAGAGTTGAATACTTACAACTGCTACCATCAACGTGGTTATTGCAAGATAGATAATTGTCATCTTATACTCATATTATGCATTAATTTCTGAAAAAAGATTGCTCTCCAATGGCCACCAATTTCAGTTCTATCTATTTTTCATATATATTCTTAGAATTTAGAAAGCTCCGTCCTATTTGGTGGTCTGTTTACGCTTTGATTCTTTCACCTTCTACATTGTATCAATTGGAATCTTTTTTTTTTTTTTTTTTTTTGGAAAATTCAAAAATATTTTGGATTGCCCAGTATTCCACCAATGAGTAACCTAAGATTGATTGATCTTGGCTAACATAAATTTCTAATTTCCTTTAATATAGGTTGCTTCTATGCTAAACATCATTGCAATTAGTATTAGTATTGTAACTTTCAATTAGTTTTTTTCCCTTTTAATCAATTAGAAATTTAGCATCAGGCTGTTAAGGTGTGCCTGAATATCTACTATGCATAAATGTACAGGAAACTGTGAACCCAAATGCTGTTGACTTACATTGTGTCGCTGGAGAAGTAAAATACTATAATGTCTCTTTTCGATATGGAGACAATGGACCTCTTGTATTGAAAAACTTGGACTTGCATATTAAATCTGGAGAAATCGTTGCTCTGTGTGGACCATCAGGAGGAGGAAAAACGACTCTTGTAAAACTCCTGCTTCGCCTATATGATCCTTTACAAGGTTAGTAGTTTTGTCATTACAATTGGTCGCCAATGATGAATACGGAAGTTATCTTTTGTTGTCGCATGACAAAGTTTAGTTACTCACTGACAGGTTCCGTTCTGATTGATGGTTTGGATATTAGAGGCATACGATTAGAGAGTTTGAGGAGACATGTTGGTCTGGTCTCTCAAGATACAGTAAGTCCAAGCCTCTTAATTATTTCCACATATTGCTAATCCTTTATTTATGGTTGGTTGCTGTAGTGTTGAAGACGTGTGATGCTTATGCATTTCACTGTCGAATGGCAGATGGAGTAGCCGTAAGTTTTTTCCATTTTCTTTTGTTGATGTGCAATTATATTTGGTGGAGTTGGGGGTTGGGAGTGGAGATTCATTGGCAGTTACTAGTTTAAGAAATCTACTTCTGAGCATGATCCTCCTGTTTGTGAGCCTTTCACCTTAAAAGTTTCATGTTCTATAAAATAAAAAGTTGCTATATTTGTGAAGAACTAGCTACTGGGTTTTTCACCAGAATCACCTGGCAGTACAGGGGTAAAGCAGTTGATTGCTATCCTCGATGTGGAGGGCGATAATTGGAGACTCGAATATATTATAAGAGCCGATAGAGGTTCGATGATCAGATTGTTGCTAAATATGAGGGTTTTACACTGCAAGTATCTAGTCAAAGGAGAGGGCTTTTAGACAAGTCATCTAAAGATTCTCTAAAGAATCAATTTTCCATGGCTTGTTAACCTAAATTTTAATTATATACTGCATGGTTTTCAAGTGAGGGGACTGTTTCCTCTAGTTTATAGTCTTTGATTTTGCTCTAACATTTATTTCATATTTTCTTCTTTGTTCCCCGAGACATTAAGAAAAGCTGTCGCATTGATTTTAGAGAACTTTCTTAGTGTAGGAAGTACAATGTTAGAAGAGTGCTTCTTGATTGATGTGCAGTCCAAGTAAAAACCCCCCCCCCCCTACCCCCCCCACCAGGGGTTCTTGCCTTCTTTGTGCTTCAGTCTGATTCGAGGAGCAGCTACTTATTAGCTAACTAGAACATAGCTCAAGAAGCTGTCTTACAAAGTGCTTTCAGGTTCTCTATAGACAGATGTCTCTTTGGAGCCAATTGGCCATTGCCTTGGATTACCTATGTTTCCTAATTATATGGCTTCAATCTCTTTCTTGGAGGTCAAATTGTGGAAAGCTGATTTCTGATTTTTGTAAGTTGTTAGAGTCCAACACTGGTTAAATCTGCAATATACTTTGTGCAGTGTATAATAGTGAAAATACGAAAGTCCAACACTGGTTAAATCTGCAATATACTTTGTGAACTGTGCCTGGAAAAGCTTTTAGGCCTAAGGCAACTGTCTTCACGCGTCTTTCCAAAACTCTCCCTTTTTTTCTCACATACATGTAATTGGATTAAATAGAAAGTTGGGCGGTCTTTTGTTATTTCAAGCTTTAGTGCTTTTAGGTCAATATGAGGAAGATAGGCAGAGGTCTATTGAGAAGAAATTGAATGTATACGGAGATGGATACATGAAAGTTGGTATTCGGATCATACTCCAGCTTTCAAGTTTTGGGATATGATTTTCATCGGCTGCTTGTACATGATCTGGGGATGATTTTCCGTGAAAGCTAGCGGACATATTAAGAAATAAGTCTCTTAAATTCTTGGCTTGTTTGTTAGCGTAATATATCTGGTAAATATACACCGCCAGAAGTTGTAGGGTAGATTGAGTGGCTAGTCCAGTTGGCAATTAAAATTAAAAAAAAATTTCAAGGTTTTCTATTAAGTAAATTATATTATTGTTATTACTATTATTAAAGATCTAAACTGTATACCAGTCCAACTTCAAATTTTATGCCAGTTCAGAAATACCCAGAGGTGAAAGGGGCAATATTGCTTTATCTTGAAGTCGGTACAGTAGAAGGTGTATGTTGAAAATTTCATTGCTCAAAAGTAGACTTTGAAAATCCCAGCATGGAACTAAGATGCTCTATGTAATAATCTCTAACTAACTCGTATGTGGTAGACACTATCTTCTTCTAAACTCTATACTAGTCTGGTCAGTTAAAGTAGTCTTAGGAGATATAAAGAGTTTGTCAGTAAAGTATTCAAGACTCAGATGCAGTTTACACATTATTAGGTTTCATTTCCTAATGAGTGGGTATGGAGAAAAATTGCAGTTAATATATTTCAATTAAAATGTTTTGCCCAGTTTTTCCACACTAAAACTTTCAGTGTGGCTCGTTCATGCATTTTTTAGTAAGAAGCAATTGCAATTACCAAAATTCATATTTCCTAGATGATGCTAATTATCATGTTCTGCTCTTTGCCTTTGTAAAAATGTTTGCTGCATGCTTATTTTATTAGCTAAGGAGCATCAATTTTTCTAGGATAATGCTTGTCCTTCTGATTGATCTTGTTACCTTTTCGGTCCATCTCAACTTATTTTACTTCCGTATTTGGCAAAGCTCCTCATCTCGAAGAATTCGAAATGATACTCCCTCAATTTCTGTCATGTTGTGCTCATATACAATTAAAGATAAAAGCTTCCTAAAATAAGTTGAACTGCTATTTATATGCCAGTTTAAAATACCTGGTCTGAAAGAGGGGCGATATTGCTTTATCCAGAAGTTGGTTGAAACATTTCAGTGATCAAAAGTAGACATTAGACTCAACACGGAACTAAGATGCTCTATTGGAAACTGTAAACCTTTGGTTTTTAAGTTTTAGCGAAGATATCGCGTCTTCTTGAACCAACTGCTCGCTTTTCACACTTTACGGGCATATATTCTTCAAGTCCATGCTAGTCTGGTCAACTAAGAGGGATTTCATGGCTAAATTGTTTTCTACTTTGTTTTAAAAATTTATCAGACATTATTTTCTGGAACTGTTGCCGAGAACATTGGATATAGGGATAGAATGACTGGTATTGATATGGAGAGAGTGAAGCTTGCTGCAAGAACTGCAAGTGCAGATGAATTTATTGAATCGCTTCCTCTTAGCTATGAGACAAATGTTGGACCTAGGGGCTCAATTTTTAGTGGAGGGCAGAAGCAAAGGTATGATACTTTCCCCAGCAATACACTTTGATTTTTTGAATTTTTTTATCTATCTCGGTCATGCACAATCTATCAGTAGTATGCCTTAGATTTTTAGAAAAAGCTTTCCCCTCTTGAGAACTTAATCACTTACTAGTCAAATGAAGGGAGTAACAGAAACACACAGCAAGAAAGTTTTCTGTCAATCCAAAAACGTTAGAAAAAGAATTAAATCTGATATCGCAAAGTTCGTGGTTCTCAGGTTGGCCTTAGGTCTTCCTCTACAGCTGTTTTTTTCTCGACAAATTAATGTTTTGCCAAATTCATTTGGGATCACCTTTTCAGGCACTAGAGCTTCTTCTTCTTTTCTTCAATTTTTGGTGGTCAGTGTTAGTGGATCTCGGGTGTGTTTGAATTCAGCCTCTCATTAGATCGGTACTGAAGGATTGTCTGGGATAGGTCGTTAGGGAATGCAATAGAACATGATATCTGATGCTCCTTGTTCCCAAAAGACTTAATGCAATTGCAAATGTAGGGGCTGTAAAAGCTGACCTTTTGGTTCTAGGGAAGTTCCTCTCATTCCTTTTTATTGTTTGCATCCCAGAATAGCTATTGCTCGGGCACTTTACCAGAATCCATCTATTCTGATTTTGGATGAAGCTACTTCGGCATTAGACAGCAAATCAGAGTTGTTGGTGAGACAAGCTCTGCAGCGCCTGATGCAAAATCGTACTGTAAGTAAAAGAAGCTTCTATACTTTTGTTTACAGTTCAATACCATGGCTTCTCCACCTCCCCTCTTCCCCTCGTCATTATTTTACAAGACAAGTTAGAACTCAGGTCCTCTCTATTAACCATACAACAACATACCCAGTAAAATTCCACTAGTGGGGTCTGGGAGAGTAGAGTGTACGCAGACCTTACCCCTACCCCGAAAAGGGTAGAGAGGCTGTTTCCAGGAGACTCTCGGCTCAACAGGAGAGACAATAATATCAGAAAAGAAACAAGAGAAAAGGCATGTAACAACAAAAGATGCCAGAAGGAAATAACAACACGAATAAGTGAAAGGACAATAACACAAAACTATGCAAAACAACAATGTGAACACAACATAGACCGCTAACAAACCTAAACAAAACTCTATCAGACTACCCGGTACAAAGAGGAAGAACTCTCGACTACCCCCTAGCCTACCACCCTAATGCTCGACCTCCACATGTTTCTATCAAGAGCCATGTCCTCGGAAATCTGAAGCCGCACCATGTCTTGCCTAATCACCTCGCCCCAATACTTTTTAGGCCGCCCTCTGCCTCTTCTCGTACCTGCCAAAGTCAACCGTTCACACCTCCTAACCGGTGCATCTAGGCTTCTCCTCCGCACGTGTCCGAACCATCTAAGCCGCGCTTCCCGCATCTTGTCATCCACGGGAGCCACGCCCACCCTTTCTATTAACCAGTGTTGTCAAAGGCGCGCTTAAAGCGCGCATAAGCCCTGAAGCGAGGCTCAAAACTTGTTGGGCGCTTCGCCTCGCTTTGTGGGCGCTTTAATATCGCATCAAGGCTCTAAGGCATACTTTTCCTTACCAATGAGTGTAAACCTGAAAAGGCAACATTAAACAATTGATATTTCACTTTATCGTAATTTTTTTTCAATTTCTTTATCCATATATTTATTATTCGTGCTTATAATTATTAGTCTTGGACTACAAATACATATTTTTACTTTTTCTCCAGTTGCGCCTTTTTTCATTAAAGCTCACGCTTTATTTGCGCTTTGCGCTTAAAGCCCCAACAGACCTTAGAGTTTTTTTGCGCTTTTCGCCTTTGATAACAATGCTATTAACCATGATAAAGCATATCGACCGGAAATAAATACAAAAAAGAAAATGCCTGTTTTGATAAAGCAGGATTCCTCCCACAGTAGATGAGTGATGAGACATAGGTTAACAGTGTTCACAAGATGTAGAGCCTTGCAATACATCTGGAAGGGGAGTAAATGGCTTTTAATTCCTCTTTTCTGTGGTGGAGAATCCAAGCTTCCAACTCAACACCATAAGGCTATGATTTGAGGGACCCAAGACTTTTGTAGACCTCTTTGGAAGTCCTTACTGAGTCAATGTGGGTCAACTTTGTAACTCAACAAACGTTAATTTGTTCTGTCGGGTGTATGTAAAGCAAATTAAACTGATTAACTGACACCGAGAATGGAATCACTAAGAGGTTAGAAGGTAGACAGAGGAGCATTGTGTCTGCTCAATCAATCTTCCGAGTAGGGATGTTTGCGAAGATTTGGAATTCTCTCTTTTCCTTTGCCCACTTGCCCCTGTAATCATGGGGGCTGGCAAGGTTTGTAATTCCAGATTAGAAGCAAATCATGATGTCTGGAGATAGACTAATTGAACATTTCTCAAATCATTTGTGTTTTCCTCAGTATATCTTCACATCTTCCATGTTGAGATGCGATAAAAAACAACATAAATTTGTTTGCACCCAAACTTTGGTGAAGACCACTTCTTTTCCGTTCTCTTCCTTTTTGGTAATAGACATCCACAAAGGATATTATTGTTGAACTGGTATAAGCGCAGAGTGGAAAACACTTTCACATTATTATATGTTGTTATATTCTTCAAAATCAGGATCTATAATTTCTGAAATTTAAGTAGTGCTACTATCCAAAGAGGGGTGGGTAAATCATACACACTTAGGATTTGAATTTCCAACTTAGAGGAATGATGTGTAACCCTTCCTAGAGCCTGAGCTAGTATGTAGCTGATGTTCTTAAATCTGTCTCAGCTGGACTTTTGCTTTACAAAAAAAAATTCCTGCTTTGCGTAGTACTATGCGATCCAGGTGACGCAACTACTGATTCGTCTGAAATTTTGTTGTTATTGTTTTATGTACCAGAAAGTAAGATTTGTGTGGATACCTTTTAATGAAGAGCTTTCTGGACCTTTCCCTGTTTGCTTTTATTTTTCTTTGTTGAATGGAAGAACTGAATTTGTGGCTATTATTAGATCTGGCAATGCATCATATGTTGCCAAAGAATCATGTTCATTCTTGTCGATCAAACATCCTTCACGAATGTTGTTGAAAATGTGAGTGGAATGCGACAAATTTGCTGTTGAAAACGTGCATGTGATGCGACAAATTTGACTTTGTTGGCAATATAATTGTCATATGATTTTGATTTGAAGTTTGCTGATTGATGACGCATTTTATTGCCAAGAAAAATGGATGATACCTTTCGCATATGCACGTCTATCCTTTAGGGCAATTCTAATTGTTGTCTAAATCTTTACATGCAGGTACTAGTGATTGCTCACCGCTTGGAAACAGTTCTAATGGCTGAACGAATTTTCCTTTTAGAGGATGGGTGCTTGCGGGAGGTTCCTCGCTCTGCTCTTTTGGACGGTCAAAATGGCTCACTGGGATCTCTGTCTTTCACGATATGATGTTTGTATGAAGCTAAAGGTCTGCCTCTTGGAAACGAATATGCATTTTCGCGTCGAAACCCTTTNAGCTGCTTCTTTTTTTCTTCAATTTTTGGTGGTCAGTGTTAGTGGATCTCGGGTGTGTTTGATTTCAGCCTCTCGTTAGATCGGTACTGAAGGATTGTATAGGTCGTTAGGGAATGCAATAGAACATGATATCTGATGCTCCTTGTTCCCAAAAGACTTAATGCAATTGCAAATGTAGGGGCTGTTAAAGCTGTCCTTTTGGTTCTAGGGAAGTTCCTCTCATTCCTTTTCATTGTTTTCATCCCAGAATAGCTATTGCTCGGGCACTTTATCAGAATCCATCTATTCTGATTTTGGATGAAGCTACTTCGGCATTAGACAGCAAATCAGAGTTGTTGGTGAGACAAGCTCTGCAGCGCTTGATGCAAGATCGTACTGTAAGTAAAAGAAGCTTCTATAGTTTTGTTTACAGTTCAATACCATGGCTTCTCCACCTCCCCTCTGTCCCTCGTCATTATTTTACAAGACAAGTTAGAACTCAGGTCCTCTCTATTAACCATGATTAAGCATATCGACTGGAAAAAATACAAAAAAGAAAATGCATGTTTTGATAAAGCAGGGTTCCTCCCACAGACCACAGTAGATGAGTGATGTGACATAGGTTAACAGTGTCCACAAGATATAGAACCTTGCAATACATCTGGAAGGGGAGTAAATGGCTTTTAATTCCTCTTTTCTGTGGTGGAGAATCCAAGCTTCCAACTCAACACCATAATGCTATGATTTGAGGAACCCAAGACTTTTGTAGACCTCTTTGGAAGTCCTTACTGAGTCCATGTGGGTCAACTGTGTAACTCAACAAAAGTTAACTTGTTCTGTCGGGTGTATGTAAAGCAAATTAAACTGATTAACTGACACCGAGAATGGAATCACTAAGAGGTTAGAAGGTAGACAGAGGAGCATTGTGTCTGCTCAATCAATCTTCCGAGTTAGGGATGTTTGCGAAGATTTGGAATTCTCTCTTTTCCTTTGCCCACTTGCCCCTGTAATCATGGGGGCTGGCAAGGTTTGTAATTCCAGATTAGAGGCAAATCATGATGTCTGGAGATAGACTAATCGAACATTTCTAATATCACTTGTGTTTTCCTCGGTATATGTTCACATCTTCCATGTTGAGATGCGATAAAAAACAACATAAATTTGTTTAAACCCAAACTTTGGTGATGATCACTTCTTTTCCATTCTCTTCGTTTTTTGTAAGAGACATCCACAAAGGATATTGTTGAACTGGTATAAGCGGAGAGTGGAAAACACTTTCACATTATTATATGTTATGTTATATTCTTCAAAATCAGGATCTATAATATCTGAAATTTAAGTAGTGCTATTATCCAAAGAGGGGTGGGTAAATCATACACACTTAGGATTTGAATTTCCAACTTAGAGGAATGATGTGTAGCCCTTCCTAGAGCCTGAGCTAGTATGGCGCTGATGTTCTTAAATCTGTCTCAGCTGGACTTTCGCTTTACAAAAAAAATTTCCTGCTTTGCGTAGTACTATGCGATCCAGGTGACGCAACTACTGATTCGTCTTAAATTTTCTTATTATTGTTTTATGTACCAGAAAGTAAGATTTGTGTGGATACCTTTTAATGAAGAGCTTTCTGGACCTTGCCCTGTTTGCTTTTATTTTTCTTTGTTGAATGGAAGAACTGAATTTGTGGCTATTTTTAGATCTGACAATGCATCATATGTTGCCAAAGAATCATGTTCATTCTTGTCGATCAAACATCCTTCACGAATGTTGTTGAAAATGTGAGTGGAATGCGACAAATTTGCTGTTGAAAACGTGCATGTGATGCGACAAATTTGACTTTGTTGGCAATATAATTGTCATATGATTTTGATTTGAAGTTTGCTGATTGATGACACATTTTATTGCCAAGAAAAATGGATGATACCTTTCGCATATGCACGTCTATCCTTTAGGGCAATTCTAATTGTTGTCTAAATCTTTACATGCAGGTACTAGTGATTGCTCACCGCTTGGAAACAGTTCTAATGGCTGAACGAATTTTCCTTTTAGAGGATGGGTGCTTGCGGGAGGTTCCTCGCTCTGCTCTTTTGGACGGTCAAAATGGCTCACTGGGATCTCTGTCTTTCACGATATGATGTTTGTATGAAGCTAAAGGTCTGCCTCTTGGAAACGAATATGCATTTTCGCGTCGAAACCCTTTTCTTGGTTAGTTGGATACATCCATGAACGCCATAAACCACCAAGAATTAGCCAGGGGCAATATATTCGGTAGTCTATAAGTAGCTGTTTATGGCACACGAGCTCAATGTTGTTCTACTTGATTAGTTTTCTAGTTTTTCTGTTTTACATGCTGTATGGGTCGATCCGACCCCACGATAATTAACGAGGCTAATCCCGTCTTAAGCTAATTCGTGATTAATTAGTGGCACGACCACTCAGAATTAACGAGATTCAACCCGCATCTGGTTCGATCAGCAAGGCCATGGCCTATCCGCCACCATGAAGGCGAAATCCCAACGTGGTCACGGCCACTTATTGCCAGCTCATGAAGCTCACAGCTATAAATACCAAGAGAGGAAATCCCAGAAAGGGGTGCTTCTTCTTGACCACTATTGAGAGAGAAAAAAGAGATAACGAGATCCATATTATGGGCACAAGGAACACCATTGTAAGGCTCTGAACCTCTCATGGAGAGGCAGACCAAACCAATATTATAAATAAAGGCTTCTAATGTCTCTCCCCCTAATCCTGAGTACTGATTTTCGTTTCCTTCATTTGGTCCAATGGATTATTACGGTTTGCTATGATTTTCCCGTGATTTATTTATATTGTTTTATACTCATAAGGTATGTAATAACTTTTGAGTCAAACAATTTTGGCGCCGTCTGTGGGGATTTCCTAGCAAAATCGCGTAGTTCTTCCCTGGACCAAAAGGAAAGAAACGCCAAGCTCGAGGAGGAACTCGAAGATCTCAAATCAAGATCTAAGTCCTCTCTCTCTCTCTACGATCTCAGATAGTGCAAACAAGAAGAAGAAGCCCTCCCCTCCCCCNCGTGCATGTGATGCGACAAATTTGACTTTGTTGGCAATATAATTGTCATATGATTTTGATTTGAAGTTTGCTAATTGATGACGCATTTTATTGCCAAGAAAAATGGATGATACCTTTCGCATATGCACGTCTATCCTTTAGGGCAATTCTAATTGTTGTCTAAATCTTTACATGCAGGTACTAGTGATTGCTCACCGCTTGGAAACAGTTCTAATGGCTGAACGAGTTTTCCTTTTAGAGGATGGGTACTTGCGGGAGGTTCCTCGCTCCGCTCTTTTGGACGGTCAAAATGGCTCTTTGGGATCTCTGTCTTTAACTATATGATGCTTGTATGAAGCTAAAGGTCTGCCTCTTGGAAACGAATATGCATTTTCGCATCGACCCCCTTTTCTTGGCTACATCCATGAACGCCATAAACCACAAAGAATTAGCCAGGGGCAATATATTTGGTAGTCTGTAAATAGCTGTTTATGGCACAGGAGCTCAATGATGTTCAACTTGATTAGTTGTTTCTAGTTTTTCTGTTTTACATGCCAAAAGTATAAATTAGTTTTAGTGCTTTAAGTTTAGTACTTCTACACAAATTAGTTGTGACGACCCAAAGGGTCATCACTTGTTTTCTCACTCATTCTGTGTCTAGGATGCCTTAAAAACCTCATTTAGGCCTGCCTCGATTTGCGTGCGCAGTCCGGGCGCTTAGCCGGAAAACTTAAATATGAATTCTGTGTAAAAATTGATGAATTTTGATATTAATATGAATAGAGTTGACTTTGGTCAACATTTTGGGTAAACGGATCCGGATCCGTGATTGGACGGTCCCGGAGGGTCCGTAGAAAAATATGAGACTCGGGCATATGCTCGGAGTCGAATTCCGAGGTCGAGAGCCCGAGAAATGAATTTTTCTGTGAAATTGTTTTTTAGAAATTAATATGGAAATTGGAAAAGGAAATTGATTAGAACGTGTTGTTGTCGGGCCCGTATTTTGGTTACGGCGTCCGGTACAGGTTTTATATGTGGTTTAAGCGCTTTCTGTGAAATTTGGTTGAAATCGGACGTCATTTGACATGTTTCGGACCTAAATATCTAAAAATAAAAGTTTATGAAGTTTGATGAAAAAGTGATGATTTTGAGGTTTAATTCATTGATTTTGATGTTATTTTGGCGATTTGATCGCACGGTTGAGTTCGTAGGATGTTGTTGAGTCAGTGACACTGGATCTGGGTAGAGTTGTATTTAAACTTCCGCATTTGGTTTTCAGTTATCTATGTTTTTAAGACTTCCGTTTTTATTTAAATGACTCGTTTTATTTATATCGTTGTGATGTCATCAAAAAATGTTTTAGTACTTGGCTTGCCTAGCTCCGACAGTAGATGCCATCACGACTCCCGATGGTGGGAAATCCGGGTCGTGACATTAGTTGTTTCTAGTTTTTCTATTCTACATGCCAAAAGTTTAAATTGCTTGTACAAGTACTCTCTATATTTTTGTGACGTTAGAAAAAGTATACAAACCAAAAGTGTAAATTGCCTGTAAATGATTTGTTTGCTACTGACGCGCTTTCAAGTATCAAAGCTTTCTAGTAAAATCATCCAAGATTCTTAATCAAGTAGCTTTTCTATTTGTGTGCTAATTAATATAGCTGTCGACTTTGATATAACATAACACTGTTTCGCTTCTCACATATTGGGTAAATGGCTTCCCGAACAGTTACCGACGCTTACAGCTTGTTTGGATGGTTTATCATATCATATTATTATTTTAAATGCAATGTTTGTTTTGATTATTATTTAAAATTTATTGTATCGTATTGTTAAATCCGTCGTTACGTAACGATGAAATGTGTCACTTTATGTAACGACCGATTTGGTGTGGTCGCGTCGTTTCCTTAGGTTTTTCTCTCAAACTCACCCTTCATCAGTATCAAATAATTTTATTTTATCATTTATCCTACCTTTTTATATATCGTATCATAATTTTTTTTATAATATTGCAAGTTTATTTCATCATATTACTGGTGCGTGATACCATGAAACGACGATAAAATGACACAATCCATTCAAACATTGTATTCATCAAACGATACAATACAATACAATACGATACGATACATTATGAAACGATACGTAACAACTATCCAAACAAGCTGTTAGTTGTAAATGTAGCTTTTAAATTTTAATCATAATCGAAGACCATTTATGTTAATTTCTTCCTAAACCATTATATTCATTTACTCCTAAAGCAGAGTCAACAAAAGAACTTACATGTGATTGGAAAAAAACACTTAATTTAACCATCTTCAAACATTGTCTTGAAGGTTTACTTGTATAAGTTTCAAACTTTAGGACACTGTCCTAGACTTCCACTGGCAGCATTTTGAACTATAGGAAAATTTTCTAAAGTTCATGGGGTTATTTTTCAATGAATTTGCCACATTTAATGTTATGATTCATTATTTGTCGGTTACCTTGCAAATAGTCGTAGGAAATTACACTTAATAACCTTGAAAATGGATGATCTTAATTTTTTGACCCCGACTTGTTCTATGAGCAAAAGTTTAAGGTCAAAAGTCAAAAGTGTTTTCTCATGGGGCAAGTGAGGGACAACATTTGTTAAACTTGAAGTTCTACCCATAAGGCAAGCGGGGTCAAAAAATCAAGAGTGGCACCGGAATGTCCTACTTGTGCAAATCACCCCTGAAAGTATCATTTTTACAAAAGAAATCGCAACTGAGCCCATTAATAAAAGAGAATTTTTCATAAAGCATTATAGTTTAGAGACTAGCTACCGTATGTAACTATAGTTTGTCTAATTACCATTCGCAGCTTTGTTCAATTGTTACCAACTTGTATCACTTCGCTCTAAATGACTATATTAACGCATATAATGCACTGGAAGTTTGGAATATACTGTATCACTGTATGTGACTCCAATTCGCTTTAAATGGATATATCGACGCATATAATACATTAAAATATGTATCACTGTATGTGACTTCACACACTATATGCACTGTATTTACCGTTGAGATTTTGCTACAATATACAAAGAGTAGCTATGAATTGTATTTATTTCAAAGTGTAGTTATGTATGATAAATACATTATACTATATGTTAGTTACACCATATAATTTGTAAAAATAGCGTGTTGTAGCCACTAATTAAGGGTGTCTTTAATTTTTATCCACTAATTATAATGCTCAACAAAAATAATCAGTACTAATAGGAAAAAGACTGTTTTACCCTATAACGACACAACCGGTCATTTTGAGCTTTTGCACTTTGATCGCCAGTTCTCGGGCATGACTTGCCTCGTGTAATGCATTATGACTGATGTAGATCGTTGGTTTTGGTTTTCAGGAAAATCAGAATGAAATTGAAAGAACAGACTCAGTTGAAAGCTTTGAATTTGAAAGGTTTGACCAAGAGTTGACTTATTTGTATATGAGCTCGGATCGGAATTTTTATGATTTGTGTAGCTCCGTTAGGTGATTTATGACTTAGGAGCGCGATCGGGATGTATTTTTGGAAGTCCGTGGAAGGATTTGGCTTGAATTAGCAAGGCTAGTATTTTGGCGAATTTCGGTTGATAGGTGAGAATTTGATCCGAGGGTCGGGATGGAATTCCGAGAGTTTTTGTAGCTTCGTTATGTCATTTGTGATGTGTGTGCAAAATTTCAGGTCATTCGGACGTCGTTTGGTCGGGTTTTTGATCAAAAGTGTATTTCGAAAGTTTTTGGAAACTTAGGCTTGAATTCGATGAGTTTTGAGTAATTTGATGTTGTTTGAGGTATTTTGACGATTGGAACAAGTTTGAATGATGTTATGGGTTATGTTGGCAGGTTTGGTTGAGGTCCCGAGGGCCTCGGGTGTGTTTCGGGAGGCTAAGCGGATCTATTGCATGTTTTGAGAACTTCAGAAAAATTGCAGGTCAGTTGCAGGCATATTTGGCCTTCGCATTCGCGAAGGGGATCCCGCGTTCGCGAAGGGCCTGGGTTCGTGAGCATCGCATTAGCGAGGTTCAATGCCGCGTTCACGAAGGTTTGAGAGAGGCTGCATCGCGTTCGCGAGTGTGGGTACGCGATCGCGAAATAGGTTCTGGAGCTGATGGTCAAATGTTCATCGCGTTTGCGAAGTTCAAACTGTGGAAGCAGTGCGTTCGCGACTGGCATGTCGCGTTCGCGTAAGGTAAAAGATGGTAAGCGTAATTTTCTGCTACGTGTTCGCGAGAGATGGACCGCGTTCGCGAAGAAGGATTTTTGAGTGCTGGGCAGAATGTTTTTAAGTCACCTTGTCCGCGATTTTGGGTCTATTTTCACCCACGACTGCTCGTTTTTGGAGATTTTTGGAGGAAATGAA